CCAGAGTCTATACTGGAAAGCACCTTCTGTCCCCCCGAAAGCACAGCCCCCAGCACAACATAACTGGGAGCCCCTGGGTTGCCAGCCATGTTCTCTCTTCTCCTTTGCCTCTACTCTTCAGGGTCCTGCTGTGTGCAGCACCCAGTAGATGCATTGATCAAAATAGGTATCACCGTATTATTGCTGCTGCTTATGGTGATTGAGCTGTTGATGAGATGAGGAGAAGGTGAGGACGAGGGAGCTCTATCAGCACTGAGATGGAACTGGAGATGACTGGGTACAGTGATGTTAATGATGGAGAGTGGAGATAGTAGAGGTCTGTCAGCACTGTGATGGTGCTGGTGGTGACTGCTGATGATGATGGTGAGAGTGATGGAGAGCGGGGGATGATGGAGTTCTTTCAGCACTGGTAATGATAATAAGGTGTGGCTAGTGGAGCTCTATCAGTACCATGGTGGTGCTAGAAGTCACAGCCATGACAGTGACAATAGTGACAGAGAATGTGGGGCTCTATCAGTACTCCAATGGGTGATGACTACTGACAGTGGTGATAATAATGGACAAGACAGAATATTGGGCTCTGTCAGCACTGCAAATCTGACCCAGCCCTGGAATTATGTACAACCCTGAGGGGCAAGACACCATGGACATCAGCGCTCCCAAGACAGAAGCTAGATGGCATCCAGGGTGTGACTTTTGTGTGGGCCTGTCTGGAGAGGATGATGACAGGAGGGGAGGGATGGTGGAGCTACCCATGGGTACCGTGGTATGACATCTGGCTTGAACTTTGACTCCATCACAAAGCTCTGTGTGACTCTAACTCCTTTCTGCCTCTAGCTACTCTGACAATTAGGGAGATCAATGATAGAATGGAGACATCTGAGTCCTTACCGGGAAGGGCAACAGATCACAGTGGAGGAGGAGGGAATCCTGCATTGAGCTGGGCTGGAAATGCCTCACTCTCACTTCCTGTCTGGATTGCCACCGACGTTTACACCAGCTGGTCAGGAAGGTATCAGATGCCTTCCATGGCTGTCACCAGCACCTGCTGCCTGGATTCCAATCTGGGAGATGGTATCATCAGAACTGCAAATAAAATATTTAGTGGCATTTGTTTCCCCCAGAAGCAAGTGTGGCCTCTGCTTGGTATCACAAGCTCCATGGGGAAGATGTTGGGGAGGTTGTGCAGGCGAGAGGAGTCTAGAGTACCATCTATGCCTTAAGGACTAGGGAAGGAGAAGGAAACAATAAGAGAGCAGAGGCCCGTAGGTGCCAGTTCTTAAGGATGCATGTGAAGTCTGACTTCATAAATTAGAAAAGATGAGGTGCAAAGAGGAGCATTTCACTAAAAGAAAATTCTCTCATTTGACACTAACAGAAAATCTGGTTTAAGAGGAAGGGCTAGTTGTACAGTGTCACAGGCTTCAACCGAACTGAGGTTGGACTATCCATTCCGAGACAGATCATGGAGAGGAGGAATGCAAAAAGCTGAAAATATCAGCGTGTATCAGTTCGTGGTAAAAGCTTTGGCCTCCTGAGCACCTGCTTTGTAGGTGCTATGCAGAGTGAGGGCAGCTTTGTACATTGATGTCATACCCTGTGTGGCAAGTCCCAGGTAAGCCTGCTTCAGGCAGATACAGACAGCATTCTAGAGTGGCCCAGTGCCCTGACCAGGTGCACGCTGCTGAAGCTCTGTTTAAAGCCAAGTGTCTCAGGCCTGCACCCCAGCATTTAACCACACCACACTACTGCTCTTCAGAGGCACAAAGGTGGATGTCTCCTCACCAAGGTCACTTGGGTGGTCTGATCTTTTCCCACCGAGCCCTACTCTGGGGCAGTCTTTGTTCCATCCATCTTGGCATGGAAAGCCGCAGCTCTCAGTGCCTTATAGTGACTGTCCTTATGAAGGTCATAGCTGCAATATGGGTTCAAACATCTCCACCCTCATCACAGGAGACATTGCCTCCTCTGGACCCCAGTGTCCAGTGGTAGCTGCTGAGGGTGGGTTGCCCCTGGGTCCAAGAATCAATTTCCTAGCTGGTTACCAGGATCAGTGTAGCTCAGAATGATGCTGTTAGACAGGTGAGAATGAAACAGGCCTGCTACAGGCGTGTGCTGAGAATATCAGCCACATAGGTAGCACAGAGGGAACTTGGCTGCTGTTGGACTCAGATTCCAGGAACTAAAGGAGCTGAGCCTGAAGGCATCATCTCATCTGGAAGGAGAAATCTTACAGACTGGCTATTCTAACAGCTCAAGAAACAGACTCAGGGAAATTTTAGACCAGTCCACACCCACAACACAATTTCTTCCTGCCCCTGTGACCCCTGGCCTTCTAATAATCAGGAAAGTTTTCGCGCTCAGTCCAGTTCTCAGCAGCCTCCCTGCTATCCACAGAGAGGCTGTGTTAAGACTTGTCCTATCATACGACCGAAAAAAATCAGCTTGGGTCTATTACTTTCTCCTTCCAATGATCTTCCAGTCGAGCTCTGTCACAAGGCCATGGAGGAGGGGAGATCAAATCTCCCCTCAGAATGTTCATCCATGGAAAGGAAGAACGTAAGCAAGAAGAGACTTCAGGACTTCTGGCAAATATCCAAAGTGCTGTCTCCTAGCGATGCCTCTGATAACATAACAGCCAACATAAGTGAAGTACTCAGAGCACCAGTGCCTAACACTCCCCTGCAGTGCCACATTGACTTTCATGACAGCAGAGAGGGAGGTGCCATTGTCCTATTCTAGAAGAAAGGGACATGAGACCTGCCTGAGGTTCCAAATTTGCTCTCAAATTCTGCCTAACAATAAAAGCCACTCACTACTCATCTGTGTCTTGTAGGAAGGGAGGAGAGGTGACTATGTGTTTAGATGCTGATCTCTGCTCTCAGGACCCCTCCCTGTATACATGAGCCAGATATGTGCATGTGTGTGGTGGGAAGGCAGGAGTGCACTGTGCACAAGCCTAGTGCCACTGTGCTTCTGAAAACACTTGCTACAGGATAAGCACCCACACCTGGCATGGTGACAGGCAGCCTCCTCCTCATAGCTCCTTGTGGACACTCTGCTCTCCATGCTGCATTTTCTGTCTGAAGTCATTAAGTGGTGGGGAAGGCACCCGTGGCCCCCTCCAAACAGACTCAGCAGGCCCCTTTCCAGAAAGGAGCATATAGTGTGGCCTCCTACAGCTCCCCATGCAGCTGGAGAATTTGAGGATTCTGTTATTTCCTTTTCTGTAGCTCCTCTGGAGGAATTCACGTCCTGCTACCGGCCTCAGGACATAGCTAAAAATAACCTCTGCTTTTTAAACTGAAAGCGGAGTCTGTTGGGAGCCTGCCGGTGTGCTGGTGGGGCCGGAAGGGCTGTGTTGGAGGGCTGAGGTCAGCCTGAGCCTCGTGCTGCTTTCCTCTTTCCAAGGAAGCCCAGGGCCTCATGAGTCACCCCAGAACACCCAGTGGAGTCCACTTAGAGGAAGGGAGTCAAGGGGACCATCCTGGCACCATGGTGCTGTGGACTTAGATGGCAAAATGTAGGAGTAGGAAGGAGAATCTCTAAACATACAAGGAAAAGATGGATGGGGGTGTTCTCAAAGTGATGTCAGACTAATTATAACCCAGTTTAGCTAGATGGGGGGAGTAAAGGGGATAGGCAGGCCTCTCCTAAACCTCCTGGGAGCAAATTCTCTGTCCTGGTTGAAGTTCGTGGTGCCTGTCTCTCAGAGTTCTGTCAGGACTTGTCAGCAAGGTGTTGCCCGGGTCATCTGTCCAGCTGGAAAAGAGTTCCGTTCTAGATTGCTGCTATGTCTTCCTGGTTTCGCTACGAGGCCATCACTGCTCCTCTCCCTAAAACTCTGGGGTGGTGAGACCACCTAAAAGATGTCTGGGCTCCCTTGATTCCACCCCTTGTCTGAAGTCTCCCCTTGCTCATGGTATCCTTTGCCCAGGGTCTTGGCAGGAGTCCTCAGGGGTCCTCTCTGCTTGCTGAGCAGCTTTCTTGGAATGCAGACAGGATCAAAGCACTCAGCAGTGGAGACAGGGCCCGAGGAAATGTGACTGAGGCCCAGGGCTAAGCTCACAGATGATTGAGCAGCCAGAAGGCCCCAGCTATGGCCTGACAAAATGACCCTCAACTCCCCTCCCTCCACTGAGGCCCACATACTCCCCACAAGAGCCCCCCACCACAAGTGACTGACTCTGGGCTCTGCCATCCAGGCCCCTCAGCAAGAAAATTGGCTCTGTGGGCCTACCTTCAGAGAAACAGCTGAGGACATGGCCACTTCTCTCCCGGGAGGTAGTGGGCTGTGTCTATATGCAGAGAGATTAGGATCCTGTCACTAAGGGCTTCGGGCTCTGATGGCAGGTTTAGGAATAGCGGTCTTTTTGCATTCAGCATACTCCTTCCCTCCCCTCCTCGTAAGTCCAAACAGCTAAAGACCAGGGACTCTTTGGAGAAGGAGACATGCAGGGACAGTAAAGGGCACCATTCAAGGTAATGGCACTTTCTTATCTAGTGGATGACAGAGATTTGAAGTGATGTAAGGCAAAAGAATCTGAAATAAGGAGGAATGTTATTTGTCTGTCAGACCAGGGGAGGGTCCTAACTAGCTTGTAGAAAATAGGAGAGATTTCCACTCACCTGGTGTGAGACACGGTGGGTGGGTGGGGAAGATACCTCAGTCCTGGCACTGGCATTGACTAACAAACTGAACCCAGTCTTTTAACCTCTCTGAGAGATAAAACCAATGTCTTCAGAGTCTGAAATAGAGACACTTTGTACAGTTGGAAAAAAAAGTATTATATAGCTATTCAGTGTAAGGGCTGGAGACAAAAATAGATAATATGATTCCCTCAGCATCCCTAAGTGGGAAAAAGTATGTTAAAAATAGAAAAACAAAAATGTAACAGAAGAGACTCCTAGGGCCAGCCAGGATTTGGACCCCAATCAAGCAGGACTGTTCACTTGTGGAACTTCCTTTTAGTCTGACCACTCTACCTTGTGTCTTACAGAACCATGTAAGGGCTGATCCAGGGAAGTGGAATTGTACACAGAGGAGCTGTTTTCCCAGTCTCACCTCTCGGAATGGAGCAGATGAGGGCCCAGCCATGGGCCACACAGGTTGACAGCCGGTCTGTGGTTCTGCTCTGGGTGGTCTGGCTGCTGCTGGCCTCTGGGGCCACTGGCATGCCTCAGTTCAGCACCTTCCACTCTGAGAACCGTGACTGGACCTTCAATCATTTGACTGTACACCGAGGAACAGGGGCTGTGTATGTGGGAGCCATCAACCGTGTCTATAAGCTGACAGGCAACTTGACCATCCAGGTAGCTCACAAGACGGGGCCTGAGGAGGACAACAAGGCCTGCTACCCACCCCTCATTGTCCAGCCCTGCAGTGAGGTGCTCACACTCACCAACAATGTTAATAAATTACTGATCATCGACTACTCTGAGAACCGCCTGCTGGCCTGTGGCAGCCTTTACCAGGGCGTCTGTAAGCTGCTGCGGCTGGACGATCTTTTCATCCTGGTGGAACCATCCCACAAGAAGGAGCATTACCTCTCCAGTGTCAATAAGACAGGCACCATGTATGGTGTGATTGTGCGCTCTGAGGGGGAGGACGGCAAGCTTTTCATTGGCACGGCGGTAGACGGCAAGCAGGATTATTTCCCTACCCTGTCCAGCCGGAAGCTGCCCCGTGACCCCGAGTCCTCTGCCATGCTGGACTATGAGCTCCACAGTGATTTCGTCTCCTCCCTCATCAAAATTCCCTCTGACACCCTAGCTCTGGTCTCCCACTTTGATATCTTCTATATCTATGGTTTTGCCAGTGGGGGCTTTGTCTACTTCCTCACTGTCCAGCCGGAGACCCCTGAGGGCGTGTCCATCAACTCAGCTGGAGACCTCTTCTACACCTCACGCATTGTGCGTCTCTGCAAGGATGACCCCAAGTTCCACTCCTATGTGTCCCTGCCCTTTGGCTGCACACGTGGCGGGGTAGAATACCGTCTCCTGCAGGCCGCTTACCTCGCCAAGCCTGGGGAAGCACTGGCCCGGGCCTTCAACATCAGCAGCAATGAGGATGTGTTGTTTGCCATCTTCTCCAAGGGGCAGAAGCAGTACCACAACCCACCTGACGACTCTGCCCTCTGTGCCTTCCCCATCCGGGCCATCAACTTGCAGATCAAGGAGCGGTTGCAGTCCTGCTACCATGGCGAGGGCAACCTGGAGCTGAACTGGCTGCTGGGGAAGGACGTGCAGTGTACCAAGGCGGTAAGGAGCCTCCCTGTGTTCTGTCTCTAATGCCCATGTACCTCTGTACCCCCAGCTCCTGGGCCACTAAGGGCTGAGGAGAAGAATTCAGGTAACCAAGTGGTAAGCACCAATTGTATAGGACCTCAACTACAAATTCTTGGGATATGTTTGCTAATTCGTTAAATCAGTACTAATACATGCCTTATATGCCTGCAGTGCACAAGACACTCCTGTAGATGCCTGGTCAGCCACGCAGGACTAAGCTCTTTACTCAGAGAGCTTACCTACTAGTGAGGCAAGGCAGATGAACAGATAAAACAGCCAAGCCAGACATTGTGGTGCACACCAGTAATGTCAGCACTTGGGAGGTGGAGGTGGGAAGATCAAGTATTCAGAGTCATCTTCAGCTACATACTGAGTGCGAGGCCAGCCTGGGTTACACAAAACCCTATCTCAAATAAAAAGGATACTGTCTGCCAAGCAGTAATAATTGCTATAGAGGAAAATAGAATGGAGCAGAGAGGCAGTACTAGGGAGTGTTTACTCATTGAGAGAGTAGTATCTGAGCAAAGACTAAGCAAGGGGAAAAGAGGCCCATGCAGGGAGCTGGGGAAGCATCCCAGAGAGGGGGCAGTAAGTGCAGAGAACTTGGTGCTTCCTGAGTGCTAGAGGAACAGCAAGGAGACCCCGCAGCCTGATCCAAGCATGTAAGAGAAGGAACGGTAGGTGAGGAGGTTGGTGAAAAGTAACAGGACAGGGAGTTGAGCTTGAATGCTCACCTGAACTGAAGAATCAGGAGTCAGGACAAAAGGTGAGCAAAGGAAGGGTGTCCTCATGATTTAACCCTGAGGCCAGCAGAGAGAAACAAGTGACAGACATCTGTCAGAGGTCAAGAGGGCCAGATTCTGAAAATAGCGTTCAGAATATGAGATGGTGGGACTGCTCCAAGGATAAAGATACTTGCTCCAAGCCTAAGTTTGATCCCCAAAACCTATATGGAGGATAAAGAGAACAAACTCCTGCAAGCTTTCCTCTGACCTCCACATGCACACCTTGGCATGTGCACATGCACGTGGAAACCCCCCCTACACACACACAGCACATATGAGAAAAAGAGAAATAAAAATACAGTGTTTACTGTGACCCACCCATCCTTCCATCCAGCCCTCCTCCTATCTATCTCCCTCTATCTACTCATTCCTTCATCCATTTAGCCACAGGGCAGTAAATATCAGCTGAGTGTCTGGCATTGTCCAATGAGCCGAAATGCCAACATAAAAACCCATGATCACTACTCTCACAGGTGGGGTGGGGAAAGGGAGAAGGAGAGGGAAGGGGAGGGGGAGGGAGGGAGGAGAGAGAGAGAGAGAGAGAGAGAGAGAGAGAGGAAATAGGAAACAAGGGGTGGGCATAGGGGAAGAAGCCATGATGCGCCCACGTGAAGAGAGAGAGAGAGAGAGAGAAGAGAGAGAGAGAGAGAGAGAGAGAGAGAGAGAGAGAGAGAGAGAGAGAGAGATATTAAGAGTTTGGTTGCAACCAAACCAGAGTTCAAACTCCCTCTGTACTGTTTCCTGCTTCAGGCAGAGCAACATCTTTACCTCCTTATCTTGAAAAATACTCAATTTATAAGATGATAAGATGATCAGACAGAAAATATGCAAAGAGATGTTAGTTAACTATTAGGAAATGTGACTTGTGTTAAAACCAGGTTTCTATGCACAGGGCTATGTGCTCTGGATCTGCAGCCTGTGGGAAATCTGAGACTCCGGCCCACCTGATGCTGTCTTAATACTCTAGACCCATGGTTCCTGCTCTGAGGCTCACCTGACTATCTTCTGAATATTTAGAACCAGGGTTCCTGCTCTGGGGCCCATGTGGCTGTCTTCTGTGTACTCTAGAGTAGGATTCCTGTTTTAAGGTTCCCTTCATTCTTCTGAAAACTATAGACTAGGGTCCCTGCTCTCACCAAAACCCATCTACCTAGAGAGGACAAACTGTGCCCAGCTAGTCTATTGTCATCTGGTATAACCATTTGCCTGGTACTATAGCATAATGGTTAAGGAATCAGGCTTTGAAATCTAATCAGTTAGATTAAAAATCAGTTCTGCCACTTACATTCTGTGTGTCTTTGGGTAAGTTGTATACCTGACTTGAGTTACAAGTTTTTCATCTTTGAAATAGAAAAGATATTAACCTCCTTTCATGGTTATCACAAGGATCAAAGAAAATAAAATGCTTAGTCCATAATAATCATTCAATAAGTGAGCATCTAGAATTATTATCAATCATAATAATAAAGAGCCAGTTATTGCTTAGATAGTTGTGTTGCTTTCATAAAAGTGAAGAGGCTAGATTAGTCTCTGGCTTGCTTTTACAGCACTAAAGTTTTATAACAAAGACTCTATTCAATCAAGAGAAGTACAGAGGAAATGTAAGGGTTAACCCCTTGCATCCAGCCTGGTTCCCATAGCTCAGAAGGGACCTTGTCAGGAGGAAACTGCTGATTCCTGCCTGCCTTTCAGCCAAAGGAAAGAGGAAGAGGATACCCTGCTCTGCTCCAGTGTTGGTGCGGAGAGACAAGCCCAGGCTAGTGACCAAGGGACAGCAAAACACTGTGAGAAAGGTGACAGCCAGAGGGACCAGAGCCTCTTGTAGAAAACAGTTCCTCTCCTCCAACTTGTCATCCCTTGGGGGGAATATCTCCAAGCAGTCAGGACAGTAGAATGTGTAAGAGGGTGATTCCCTCAGATCCTTATAGTCCCAAGTCTTGGGATCTAGACATTAGTGACTTTTGAGAAGTTTAAAGATGAAAGAGAGAAGCCATGGCCCTAGTGCTTGGAAGACAACATTAAGACTTAAGGTGTAAATACCCCTCAAAAACTGATCTATATCTTTTTATTTTTTTTTTTTTTTCGGTGTTTGTAGGGGTAGTTTGTTTAGCTTACTTTCCTGGATCACAATTCATCAGGGAGCCCAATGTAGGCACTCAGGACAGGCACCTGGAGGCAGAAGCTGAAGCACTGGCCATGGAGGAATGCTGCTTGTTGGCCTGTTCCCTGGCCCCTGCTCACCCTGCTTTCTTTTTATTTTTTTTAATAAATAAATAATTTATTGAGAATTTCATACATGCATATGAGGTGTTTTGATCAAATCCATGCCCACTCCCTTCCCTCCAACAACTCCCACATCTCCCCATCACTTTTTCTTATAACATCATGTATTCTTTCTTCTTCTTTGATTGATTGATTGATTTTTATGGGGCTTTTGGCTACTCTAACATTACCCCCTCTGAAGAGGTAACCCTAAAATCTTTTAAGGATTAGATACAAGCTCCCAAAAACTTTTGACATTTTTGGCCTTTGGAACAGAGTATGTTGCTAACAAGCCCAAGGACATTTTGACTTTTAGCCAAGAAACTG